TTTAGCGGGCTTTAGCTTTCTTAGGAAGCATTTTTGGAACTTTTTTCCTACATTGATCTAAGATACAACTCTTCCAAATTTTTTTACGTTTTTTTCGGACTAAATTTTAAGCCAGAGGATATGTAAATTAACATGTCAAATTTTTTTATTCATGTTATTCATCGTGCAAAATTAATTTTCTTGAACACTCATCAAATTTTCTCGTTTTGAGATTTTTTTTAAAAGAATTTATGTCGAGTATCTAAAACAGACGTGTTTTTTTTGCAGAAACAAGTCAAAGAATAGTTTTCAAATAAGATTTGGTGTACTTTCACCCATTTTTGACTAAAAAAAACTAAAATCTGTTCCTCTTTAGCTTTAAAATTTCAAGTTTTTTTTATGTTAAATTAAATCAAAACGGATTATTTTAGCGGGCTTTAGCTTCTTTAGGAAGCATTTCTGGAACTTTTTTCCTACATTGACCTAAGAAACAAATTTTTTAACGTTTATTTTTGCGATTTTGTTGTTTTTTAAGCGTTTTTTTTGGTAAGAATTCACGTCGAGCACCTAAAACTGTCCCTTGAGCTGTTTGGTGGTACAATATTGTGTTTTTGTAGGCCCAGGAGCGTCACGGTTCCGCCGAGGACCGTATCCAGCGTCTCGAAGCAAGCCTCGAAGAGAAAAACGCTGAATTGTTACGCCTTAACCAAAGACTAAAAATGAACGAAGACCACAATTCTCGCCTTTCGGCTACCGTCGACAAACTTTTATCCGAATCAAATGATCGTCTTCAAGACCATCTAAAAGAACGCATGCATGCCCTTCAAGAAAAGAACAATCTAACACAAGAACTCGACAAGACACGCAAAATGATGGAAGAACTCGAAAACCAAAAAACCGATATCATGAAAGAACTGTCAAAATCACGTCTTGAAATCGACAATGTCAAACGACAAATGTTGCAACAGGAAATCGCATATAATATTCAACAAACTGATGCTTTGACACGGTCTTTGTCGCCTAATGCCGTCGTTGATTCGAGTAGTTTTTCACGTAGTGCTAGTCATTCCAGCTTCGATACTCATTCCTTACCTCGAAGGCCGAATAAAAGTCGAACACCCATCGATGAGGACCCCAAAATGCCCCCATTTGGTTCGCGMTCRATGGCCGAACACGAATGGGAGAAGTTGCAACAAGCTCATGTTCTTGCCAATGTTCAACAGGCCTTTGATGTGTCAAGTGATGCCGAAGGTGACGATAATGATAGTTTGTTTAGTACTGCTGATATGTTATCACCTTCGGGACATACCGATGCACAGACTTTAGCAATGATGCTTCAAGAACAACTCGATGCTATCAACAACGAAATTCGGTTAATACAAGAAGAGAAACAGAATACCGAGGCACGAGCCGAGGAATTGGAATCGAGAGTTGGTAGTATGGAACATATGAATTTGTTGGCGAGAGGGAGGAGTTTAGAACGACAAAGTCCACCAGTAAGCGGGAGGTCTACACCGAAATCGCATCATTCYCCTCAAAGGGATTATATGCATAAGTATCATACGGTGAGCGGTTTTMATTTTTTATGTTTTATGAAGGATTCACCAGCGCTGATAACACAAACTATTTTGAAGTGCTATTTGAATTTCCCGCGATTTTTTAATACTGCGCAAAATTGTGACCACGTATTCACTATTTTGTTATTGTATAAAGTGGCGTTACGGAGATACAGGGTGATAAAAATTGGAATTCATTAGTTTCTCCCAAACCACTTGTTTTTTCAATTTTTTTCACTTTATAAAATTTTTTTTTTAACTAACACCTTGTATAATTTTTTTTATTCGAATTTTCATAAATATTTAATAAGAGAAAAAAAGATTAATTACGACCGAAAAACTTTTTTTTTGTTTTTGTGACTTTCGTTATCGAATTTCACTCTAATTTGTTTTTTTTTTTAATATTTATAATTATTCCGATTACCACTTGTTTTTTTAATTTTTTTTACTTGATAAAAAATATTTTTT